TATTTTTACTCTTATATTTTATTCTTTTTAATATAACCATAGATATCAAATTATTTTCATTAAGATCATGAATATAATATAACAACAATTATTGGTAATTACTAAATAACTATCTGTAGCCTGTAGGTCAATTATTGTACTAATATAGAAAAAACGTGTTTGAAAAAAAATAAGTAAAATTAAACGAACATAATCAATATCACAATAACTATAACACATCTTTCCAGTGCTTTTATTTTATTTTTCACAGGAAAAGAAGAAGTATTAGAAAAAAAAAGCTAAAATGCATACGGCACGGTGAACGGTTAGCGTAGTTACATTACACCCCTTATGGCCTTACTGCCGTTCTATTTTTTTAAATGATAAAAACAACACGATTGCGCCCCATGATTTATAGCTATCATATTTTTTACAACTATCTCAACGGTAAGTTCGATGATGATGGTTAGCCCACCCTTCATCATGACGTGCCTGCCACAAACTATATACAGTGGAACTTCTCCTTAAACTTCAATAGCTGACGAAATTTCAATGATCGAGAATATCAGGTATTGAGGGGTTTCAGTGTAGTGTTTAGTAGGTGGCATAATACACACAATAATTACCGTTCTATTTAATTATTTTATGTAATATTATTATTTTCCAAGAGCTTTTAATGAAACAAAAAATGTGTTTACATAATAGCTAGGTAAGTTAGATATAACTGGTAAAGTATACCTACTATAATACCGCACGCAGCCGATTGTTATAGTAATTATTGTACACTGCCACACGTTTTTCCGTTAATCGGTGTGACCTATATACAGTCATGCAACAAGTGTCTCATATAAAAACGGTGAGTGCTTAATACATTTTTTTTWAAAAATGTTATGCCTTTAGGGTCACCGCCGAAAACCATTATTTTACTTGTATTGTACACGCAAGTTCAATAGTGTGACGCTTATGTACAGAGTGCTTTAGGTTGTTCTCATAAACTTAGTGAATGAATACCCACGATGTCGGCCACGACTAGAATCGAAATGATATATATCTATTTTTTCATTGTGTGAATGAAATACATTGTGAATACAAGATCGGGGATTTTAAGGATAGTTTTGTTTAGATATCTGGTTCAATGTTAAATTTATTTCAATAATAATTAATACACCATGAGGGTTGCAGTTTCCTCCACCAAACCACCTTTGATATTTAACCACAGATGTAAGAGGACAACAGTTCGATAGTTTTTTGGTGACAAATCAAGCGATCAACAAAAAAAAAACTAAGATAAATACTTAAATATTGTCGTTTCAATAAAAAAACGAATTGGCCCACATTGTGTTTTTTTACTATTGTAATATTCGAGATGTCAAGAAGAATATCAGAACTACCTACTACCTATGTTAATAGGTATTGTATTATTGTTATAAACGTCTCAAAAAATAACGGAAAATTTGCATTTTCGATTTCGGTCGTCGACGAGTGATTATAATTTTCTAAGTTTGCACAGAAYTCCCTGAAACGCTCTGTATAAAAATGAGTTTTTTGAAATACATTTTTACCATTAACCTATTATATCTATATAAATATGCACTCGCGTAGTACCGCGTTCTAATTTAATTGTTATTGCGCCGGCGCCGACACGTTTCCATTTCATAAATATATATAGATATATATATACATTTTATAACATTTACATGTTTATATAGAGTGTAAATTATACGCCGCTATCGTTCTCCGGGAAAAACAAAAACTCGACGAGACGGAGCTATAATTTTCCGGGGGGAAAACACAGTCGAAAAAAATATGTAAAACGCGTTCGACGATAATCGATTGGAAACGGTGCAAATACGCAAATAATATAACATTTATTATTAYCATAGATTTAGCGTACGTTTTCCCCGGGGCGCGCTTGTTAAATGTTTCGACTATCGCACACGATTTGCGATCAGCGTGTATAATGTAGGTACCTTACTCGATGGTAACATATCATTATCATTATTATTCATCGTCAGATACTCTCGACGAGTGGTGTTTCGCGTGCGCAGTTTGTCGGCGATCGTCGTCGTCGCCGAGTCGTTGTCCGTAAACCAAGTAAGTATTCATATTCGTTATTACAAATAATCGTAATAAAAATTCGTGCGAGTTTATGCGATAATAAATTTTAATTAGCCACTAAATCAATTCAGTCGCCGTTGTGTTCGTGCTTGTCATATTGTTATTATTATTGTACTCGGTTGTTTTCTCGTCGGCCCGCGTATAATAATAATATTATGATGTCATTTTAATTGTTGTGAAAGTTCACTCTGCGCGAAATCCGCCACCGCCACCGTGTGTCGATCGCGGGTTACCGGCATCGCGTGCAGGCGGTGTTCGGGTGGGCGAMGTCGGAGCGTAGGCGTGCGCTTTTTACAATTTTTTTCGCGGCACCGGACCGACCGCCGTCGCCWCCGTCGACCACACCAGTTTTGGCACTCTTCGCTGTCCGACCATCGGAATATTTATCGTAAAAGATTTCTGCGAACGTCTGCTACAATAATCGTTTCAAACCGCCAAAATATCCTRAAAAAAACTACAGGATCTTCAGCGATGGTGGTCTCGAGGTGTGTCGTCACCCTGATGTGGTGTTGCTGCGGGTTCGCGGTGGTTTTGTCGAATGGCAAAAACACCACCAGAGGAGTGGACGAGTTCTTGACGTGAGTATTATACGATAATAATTGACAGCGATTATTACTATTGAAATTATTAAATAATAATGTGTACTATATCATTCAAATTTTATCAACATCGTATGAAAAAAAAAAAACTATACATTTTATTGATCAAGAAAAAAATGATTCATTACCTAGTGTACCTAAGTGAGATCAGAATCTGTTTTTAGCATTAAATTATGTTTTATGGTTCCTATTTTTGATTACCTATTTGTGAATATCTGGGTTAATTTTCAGAATTCGAAATACGATTTGTTCTCCGAATAGTCCGAATCTAAGTTTAGTGTTCATATAGGATACACATTTTATTTTAAAAACTTATTAGGTACATCGAATAATTCATAATAATATAATATGATGATATCCAGTGTAGGGCATCTATACCTATTTAACCACTATCAGTGATTATGCGGTTTAATAAATCGATTTATTTTGACCATGATTGCAATAGCTGTTATAACTTATACTCGCGATTGTCTGTTTCTTTTGATTTTGAGAGTAAATCGATTCTACCATAAACGTCTTTTTTTTTTTAAATACCTAATAATTGTTTCAACATTTTTTATGCACTCTATATTGATAATATTTTTAAATTACAAAAACTGCTAAGAATGCTTTGTGAGTTTGCTACTAAAGCCTTTAAATTACATTTTTCGATAAGATTTGATAACTCATTATATTATATTATTACTAATATTTCCATTTCTCAAAGGACTTCAGCTAGTTTAATAATAAATTTATAATCATTATGCGTGTCTGTACACCTATGCATTATGATTGGATTATTGTCTTACGTTTACTGTGGCAGGTCCTTGACGAAAATGATTGAAACCGTTTTAAGTACTGACGCCAGATATTCGGGACTTTTCGGGGATGGATCTCAGTTGATTTCGGGTCGGCCCAACCGCCCACCCACCGCTGATTATTTCGAAATCGGCAGACCACCCTTTCCGGATCAACCACTTGGTGGCAGGCCATACCCTCCACCTTATCCTGGAAACGGTGGTGGGCCGTACCCTCCATCGTACCCTGGAAATGGTGGACCGTACCCTCCACCGTACCCTGGAAACGGTGGACCGTACCCACCGCCATTCCGCCCCAATGGGCTCCGTCCCGGTGGCGGCTACCTGCAGCAGAACTCCGTCGTTCAGGCGCTGAGTTCCATATCACAACACGACGACCTGAGATGCGTTCCCAGGCTGCTGTGCGAAGTGTCCTCTGGAACCAGACCAGGTTATAACCAGCAATTTGGTTACTACCAACAGCAACAACAACAACAGCAGTCTTCTATACCGTTCCTCACCAAAGACGCTCTGATCACGTGAGTACAGAACACACAAACACAAACACACACACACACACGGCTTAAATAATATTATACCTACACACTTTGTATATATATATATTTATTGATATGTACGGATAGATRTATGGTGTACTTTGAGTTATTATTTATAGTCACTTGCGCTTGTCGCGGTGTCGTTATTATATCAAATATAATATATCATCTTTTCGCGTACCCGATAATTGCGTATAATATAAATATAATATATCATAGTGCGTTTTAGTCGTATATCAGTCGTCGACTCACTCGTTTTTTTCGTGGATTAATCTATGCGGTCTGTGATCGGTGGCCCGTCCAGATAAGAAATGAAAAAGTGTCTTTGACACTCGGAGACGTGCTTTTTACGCCTTTCCGCGGGTACACAGATTGGAATTGGCGGGSGTGGGTATGCGTAACGTAAACATTTCGCTTCGCGGGGCTTAAATCGAAATTAACTTGTTTTTTTCTTCAACTCACCCACAATCCGCCGAACGCTTATTTATTGCGACGTGATTTACTGCCGGGTAACGGAAAAAAACGCGTTCCACCGCCGCCAATAGGCTTGTGCATCATAAACATTTTTTYGCCGACAGATTAACGACGTATCCGCCGCCTCCTCGATATGATTCCCCTCGGGAAACCCTTTCACCGCGCAGATCACTTCTGGAAAATACATTATTATACTAAATGCATATATAGTCGACTCTGGTGGACGGCGACAAGCGGAGGCTAC